ATAAAAATCCAATTAGCTACCTGTATTTACAATCCCATGTGTATTATACATGTATATTAACTCAAAATTTTGAAACTTTAAATGTTTATATCTAATAAGCTAATAAAGTTATATTAAAAATTCAAATGCCATTTACTATTAAATTAAAAACTCAAACATTTTATTAAATTAAAAATATGTGTTACCATTTAAAAAAACAAAGTTGACCCCCTTCCAAGGCATAAGGGATGAACTTAAAAAGTATTACATAGTTAAAAATTCAAGAATAATGTGTAACTAAAAATAATGAAAAAAAAAAATGTTTAAATTATTATTATTCTGTAAGTAATTGAGTGGGTTATGATAAAAAAATCACCCTGTATATATATATTGCAACATGATATTAGATCCAGCAAAAACATTACATATTTAATGTAGATAGATGTACAATATAAATAAAAAAGACGTTATAGAATTTTCGTGAGTGCAAATTAGCACAATTTAAGAAAGTGTTTCATACTTAACATTTTGACTATCGACGATCTTTATACAATATGTCTAAAAGAAGTAAGTCAATTTATGTTATCCCAATTATTTAGAATCAATAGTTTGAGCAATAAAAACGGTAAAGTAATATATTGATTTACTAGGCCACTACAAGAATACCTCAGCGTATAATACCTCAATAAGAGGAACTTTAGTAATTTATTTTTATATCAACAAGTCTTTACTGTTTTAAACCCTCGGACTCTACAACCCCGTAGAACCTCATTGCTCACGAATTGACCTAATCTCCAAACATCCAACTTTGGTCAACATATAACCAACATACTTGTACGTTTATTTTTTAATTACTACTGTATTATGAAAAATCCACTAACTACATAATTTTTATCACTTAATTTTAATTTTTGGTATTTATTTTGCACGTAAATAAAATACTACATATCATTGTAAGTAAATATTTTTAAAATTATTGCTTTAGTTTTGTACTAATGAAAGTATAAAACTATCGATGAAACCGTTGTCTTTATTTTACATATGGTTTTCATTTTGATCATAATACTCATAGTGATTTTTGTAACATTTTCTTCATGTAATATGACATTTTTAAACAGCATTTAAAATTGGTTATCTATTTTTAAATATTACAGGGTTGTCCATATAAAATTATAATCGTGTGTCACCGAGCAGTCAAGTCAATGTGTAGGTTTTATTGTTTTGACTAGTGAATTGTGTATTAATTAAATCTATTTCAACTATATATTTTCCCATATTCGAGTTTTAATTGATTTATTTGATATAATTTAAATATTTGTTTATTTTTAGAAACTAACCTATTAATTTATAACTGGGTATCTTATAGTATTTGATTATAATTAGTTTAATTATAATTTGGTATGATGTAAATAGAAATAAAACTTATATTTATGTATAATATATAAATAGAATTAAGTTATTTTGTAGAATAAATTATAAGGAAATATATAACAAAAATTATTCTATATTACACTCAAAAATATAACACATTTTATTATATTTTTAGAATAATAAAATTATTAAAAATACATAATATTTGAAAAAAATTACGACTTTAAAATTAGTCGCTAACAATAGTATGTAGTATATTATTTTCGTGCAGAATAAATGCAATAATGTTTGTGGATTTTCCATAATACGTAAATTGTAAATTTTGAAACTCTATAAGAGGTGTTAAAATTATTTCTCCGTTGTAAAAATTTTTACCAGACATTTGAATCTCCTGAAGGTAAGTATTATGTAAATTTGAAAAAAATTCTTTCAGTCACTTTTGTGTAATGAGATGATAAAGTATGCTATTTTTCATGCGTGTTCAAGATCGTAAAACGATACAAAACTATTATAAATAGATTCAAATATGATATGAGTTAAAAGAACATAACTAAAAGTTTCTAAAAAAAAAAAAAATGTTTATTAAAAACTTTTAAATTTAGCTATTAAATTACTGTAAAATTAAAATTAAAATTTCGATGTTAAAAAAAATCAAAATTCATTAACTTAACAATGAAATTTAAGTACTATTTAGGATGAATAAAACAGTGCAAGTTCGACGGTGATAGCTTATTTGGATGTGAAGTTATAGGCTCTAGAATATAAGGTGTTTTTCATGTTTTTAATTATAAAAATAGCACTATCTAGTAAAATAACAATAAATAAAAAATTATTTTTGTTGTCAATGTCCTTCAAGAAGTCTATGATAAAATTTTCAAACGTTTCTGAACTATAGTCGCACACACACTATGTGATTTCACATGGAATGACACTATTATGATTAACAAACTATTAAAATGTGAATAGTGTCAAAGTAGCTAAGTGACATGTATAGCCGTATATGCCTTTAACGTGTAGCACAAAAAATATGACCGTACGGCTTAATCCGCAATTTAGACTTAAAAATTTAGTAAGGGACATGGGCGCAACTTGGGCAATGATAGGGGGACTTATACACTGCCTAACTCAAAATTAAAATCCTCAACAAAATTAGAACCAATTTCTTAGTTTACTCGTACAAATTTTTGATATAATTTATGTAATAATTTTTTTATTTCATTGCGTTAAGATTATAATTTTAGAATTATTCAAAAAAAAAAGTTGTAATTTGCCGGATAATCATAACGTCTAAATGTATTTATATACATATGCAGATAACGATAACGATTGCATTATATAATAATGATTACTAATACTAATATTATTGTTAATTTTTCCTCTAACTCTTCTTCCCACAGCATTCATTTCTATTTTCTATTATTTCTATTCATTCATTTTCTACAGCTTCCGATATCTTTCTCCTCATAACATGACCAAACCATCTATTTTCTCTCATCTTATCCACGATTGACGCTACACCTATATGTTCGTTTCTTATTCTATTTTCTATAGTCACTCCAATCATTCATCTAAGCATTCTCATATCTGCTACACTCATTCTCTGCTCTATTTTCTCATCAACCGCCCAAACCTCTGAATCATACATTATTACAATCTTATAGAATTTACCTTTCAGCCTCATTGGAATTCTTTTATTGCTTAACAAACAAAAACCAATGGCTTCTCTCCACTTTAACTTTAACTTCGCACTTAATCCTGTGTCTTATATCTTCGTCAATACCACCGCTCTTTTGAACAACATATATTAAATACTTAAAACTTTCCATCTCTCCTCTCCTAGTTTTTATTCAATAATGAAAATATTTTTTCATCCTTCGGATGACAAAGGGTGAAAAGATAACATTATCTATCTATTTTCATAAAAAAAAATGTTGAGTCATAGTTATTTTACAAGATGTTGCTACTGACCTTAAATACTTATAACTATCCACCTCTCCTATCAAATCCTCGCCTGTTGTCACTGAACTCCTCATTTCATATACCTCGTGTTCTCCTTAGTCAAACTCGTACTCTATATACTCTGTCTTACTTCTACTTATTCTTAAACGCTTTTCTTCAAGTGCTGATCTCTACACCTCTAGCTTTTGATTAATTTCCTCCCCATTTTCTCCTATTAACACTATATCGTCAGTAAACAACAAGCACCACGGCACTTCTCCTTGTATTTCTCTAGTAATTTCATCCATCATTATAGAGAATAAGGGCTTAAAGCAGAACCTTGGTGCACTCCTACTTTTACCCTAAAACCTTCTGTTACTCCTCCTACGCTTTTTACCCTTATACAAGTGCCTTCATACATATCCTCTATTGTATTAATATACCTATTTGGGACTCCTTTTCTTATTAATGCCCACTTTATAACTTCTCTCAGTACTCTATAATACGCTTTATCTGAATCTATAAATACCATACACAGCTTTTTCTTCTTT